TTTTTAAATAAGTCGGAAGCAGCTTTTTTACCAAGGTGTTTACAAGCACTCACTTTATAGTTTCATCTTTGTCGTTGAATTATATTTATCACTAGTGTAGAGGATATTTATGCACATTCTTTTGGAGCTTAATTGTTTTTTGATTTTGTAGGTTATTGAGCACAAGCCGTACAATCATAAAGCCGATGTTTTCAGCTTTGGGATTGTGCTGTGGGAGCTTCTCACTGGAAAGGTTTGTATAATTTCTTTATCATTTTGCTCTAGTTTCCTTATGCACTCGAACTTGTACAAACCAAATATATTCATTTATTCATAAATTCCAGGTTCCATACGCACACTTGACCCCCTTGCAAGCGGCAGTGGGCGTTGTCCAGGAGGTAAATTTCCATTTTAAAAAGAATTTTTCATAATTTTTACATATCGTAATATGTTCTACTTTTATCTTTTAGCAGAGTAGCTGGAATGAACTCTATTGCTAATGGTTCTTCCAATAATTATGTCAAATTTAACGATATTAACTGGTTTATGTAAAAGGGACTAAGGCCAAAGATACCAAGGCATACTCATCCTTCTGTAGTGGAATTGCTCGAGAAGTGCTGGCAGCAAGAACCGTCTCTAAGGCCCGAGTTTTTTGAAATTACAGGGATTTTGCAACACATGGGCAAAAAGGTAATATGCTTAGTCGCGGGTTTGCTGTTTGTAACTAACTACTCACCTGGGAAAACAAACAAACAATAAAATGCCATTTTTTTTTTATTTTTTTTTTTACAGAAGAAAGAAGTCAAGAATGAAATAAATAAACTACGATCACTTTTAGGTGTGTGCGCGGCTTTTATTACTCTTGTAAGCTGAATTCTTGTTTTTTTTAAAAAAAAAAACAGATTTTGGAAGAAGAGAGGACTGCCAAAAGAAGAAATCTGGGAGAATCATCTCAACTCGCGAAAGAAAGGGCTGTAACAATGCAAGAAAAATGAAAATGTGGTACGAGCTGTCTCTGTACTGTACGTACACGTAATTTTCTATCGATCAGTGTGTATGTCGGGATTTAAAACTGTAAAAGGAAATAGGGTCCAAGAGTGAAGAGATGAACTTGAGAGTTATTTCTAACAGCGATATAGTACACGACATACTTGTTCTAATACATATAAGATTGTAAAGTTTGTTCTAGGTTTCTATTTGACCCGAGATCAAAGATCCAGCCGATTTTTGTCCCTTTATGATGGCTCGGTTATAACTGCAAGTTATTTCATGTCTTTGATATATCTATTGTATGCATAGAAGTGCAGGGTGAATGATGCATTCGTATAGAAAAAAAAAAATGATGCATTCATGTAAACCACTTTCTATGAATATCCATTTGGACTGGCAAGTAATCTGTATTGATTTTGGTTTGTGTTTATGTGGTGAGTTTCAAACAAGCAGATGGAAATTTCTGTGGCATGTCATGTAAAAGAAAGTTGTGAAATTTATTATTTCATGTGTCCAAAGGATTCAGGCAGTCGGTCCTTTCATATTTTTTGAGGTTTGTGGATAAGTAATATACTCGTTAAATTCTAAGATTTTCCTATTTTTAACTAATTAGCCCCACAATTCACGGGACAATAATGATTGAATGGATAAATTAAATCAGTGGGAGAGACTACAATCTCGTTACGGAATCCGAGTTTTTAACCGTAGATCATTTATCTACACTAATTTACATGGTGTACTGTTGTCTCTCCCTCAACGAGTAAACAAATACGAGAACATCTAAAATCATTTTATTATTTATGTTTAATTTATTTTTATGATATATAATAGTTTCAAGTTTAATGTATATGCACTCTTCATCTATTTTAAATTAGACTAACTTTTTAGAATTTTCACATCTTAAAATTATATAACTATTATCAGTACTCCTAATTAAGCTTGTTATATATTTTTTATTAATAATTTATTACCATATTCTTTTAATTCTTTGTTTTAAAGTTGGAAAATTTTGGTAATATTTTAAAACGAAATTTATTTTGTAACTAATATTAAGTCTCTAAAACGACAGTTAGAGACGGATAGTATATTTTGGTAATATTTTTAAACCGAAATTTAACTTGTCAATTTTGGTAATATTAAGTCTCCAAAATGATACCAGTTAAAGATAGATGTAGTATATATTATTTGAATAATTTTCGGTACAATATTTAATAATGATTTTTGATACAATATTTACTACATTAGAATTAATATTTTTAAATTTATAATAATACATTGTGTAAAACTTTTCACATGTTGGCTTAACTGACGGATTTTCCTATCCTGTTCACACATACACACACATATACATATATAGAGACACACATATATATAGAGGTAGGATCTTATGAGAAGAAGGATAGTGAAAGAAATAAGAATGAATCATAACCCAATAGACTTTAATTTTTCACGCAGGGGTATTTTAGTCATTGCGCAGAAAGCGCTGTTACGATGAGTAGGCTTGTAAACAAATCAAACTTTTTTTATTCGATTCGATATTCGTGATTCGAATTCGAATGAATACGAATAATGTTTTATATTCGAAAGTTAAACGAATCCGAATTTGAATTTGTAGATATTCGATTCGAAATTCGAATATTCGATTCGTTAACAATAGTTATATAAATTTTATAAATTATATATAGTATACATTTTGTTTATAATATATATGTGTATATATATATATATATATTGCTATATTTCTACTATTTTTATGACATAAAAATTAAAACATTATAAATTAACAAATTTTCCTAAAAATATATGAAAAATAAAAATTATTTTTTGTAATTATAATATTTTTTAATTATAATTTTTTTTGAAAACGAATTCGAGTCGAATCGAATATGTTCGAATATTCTAAACGAATCGAATACGAATAAAAAAATGAGTTCGTTAACGACGAATACGAATTCGAATCTTTGAATATTTTAACGAATCCGAATCGAATCTCTGAGTATTCGCTTTGATTCGATCCGTTTACAACCCTAACGATGAGTGGAGATCGGAGGGGTTCCGACTCCGATATATGGTGAGTGTCGACCATCGAAGGTTCTGAACAGAGTCTAGCACGGCGGCGGTGTGTGTGATGGCTGGCGGCGACTGAGTAATAACGCTTAGATCTTTGAATTCGACAGGAGGGTGACCGCAGACCGTGGTTGGGGAAAAACTCCGACGATCGACGCCGATCGCACTATGAGCTTTACTCCAGTTGCTGTCATCGGTGACGGCAATGGTGTGAGGCGAGAGACTATCAACGCCGATCTGCCAGGCCGTCGGTGAGCGGGTAGGCTCTTGAAACTCCAGGTCGCTGATATTGATCTCTGAAATTTAGTATCGAGATAGGTTGGGTTGCGTTAGGGCCTGTGGCCCGTCTCAGTGTATCGAGGCTCGAAACGGGTCTTCTGTGCTTGATATTAATACCAAGGCTTTGAGTTTGAATTGATTTCTAAGAGTTTTTTTTTTTATGTAAGTGGTACAACGTGAACTGATAAAGGATATTAGACGAACAAGTTTTCATTTGAAAGTAATGATCAACTTTAAGGTATAAAGTTTTGGATTTGGTAGGAGACGTGAGTTTAGTAGTTTGTTTGTTGCCGGTTTTTGAGGGATGAGGAACGGGTCTTGAAAATATGTTTACATTCACGCTTCTGCCTCTTAAAAAAAAGAAGAAGAAGAAGAAGAAGAAGAGAGGAGAATCGTGGACAAAAAAAATAATAATAATAAGAACGAATTGTCACAACCCTTTATACTAAACAATTATTATATTCTGAGTAAATCCTTTAAAAATGATATAAGAATAAAAAATGGTATTATGGAAGTACTCATTCGCTATAGCACAAAAATAATAAAAAATTTAAATCATAGGGAGAGTGCCCATCTTGGGGTTGAATGGAGTACCAAACTAAACCATTACGCTATCTATTGGGCTCGGAGCGTCGATCAGATAACGGGCCAAATTGAGACCAAAAACAAAATGTTCTAAATACCAACTATAAGTCTATAACAGACCAGCTGTAGTGAAAATTAAGAACAGATCATGCGCTGCTAATGATATATATCCATCATATAGGGGTTGACAATTATGTAATCAAATTAATTGTTTCCCAAAATATATTAAGCATATCAGTAGGCAGTTTATTTTAGTTAGATGATTAGCTTCCCCCAAAAATATAACTATATAAGTATGACCAGCTTATTGTTCTAGGTTGTTCATCACTCCAAATCTAATATCACGAACTGTTGAGATCATCATTTCCATCTTATAAGAATCCCACTTTATGTGAGTGTAAAAAGTATCAATCTCTATATACCACACTCTACGTCAAGTAATGGTTGGTGGAATAAATATACTGAAGAATGTCGAATTTTAAATTGATAATGACTTGCAACACACTAGGGAATTAATTGAATTAAGTTGTACTCATCTATCTAAAATTTAGCACACACTTTGAATCCTTTTTGCTGTGGTACACCCTCATAAGACCTTTCACCTTTGTCCATGGCAGAAGTTGTGGTATGTAAGGATCGGAATATTAAACTCTTTAATTTATATGAATTTATATGAAAGAGGGAGCATTCTCGCAATCTTATGTTCTAAACTCAAGTTGTATTTATCTTAATTTTAATTTCCAATTATATTTTTTCAATGAGCAATTCAAACACTCAAGACACTGAAATGTTCTTTTTTTTTTCCTTATTTTTTTCATGAAATTTTGGCAAATGCTAGTTCGGAAAACCAAAGTTACAATAAGAATTTCAATTTCATATATTACCATGTTTCAAAATGTGAAGTATTTGAGTTACCTCCTGATGGTAACAATTAAGGGCATGCTTATTCATGAAATAATTTGTTCACATTTATTTCATACTCAAAATTTAACTCAACTTTATTTCAACTCCACTATTTTTAATATTATTTATCTAATTAAATACCATAAACCAATCATTTTTATATATCACAATTCGCATCAACTTTAATTCACTAATTATCCACTCACGTAATTTTAACTACTTATCATTTACAATTATTTATCTCCTACTTTTAAATCAAATCAATAATAATCATTTTATTTTAAATATTATTTTAATACATTATTAAAATCTCATTAACAACTAACCATACCATATTTTTTAAATTTAACTCTAGTTAATCAAAATAATTCATTTTGAGCAAATTATTTCATAAACAAACATACTTTTAAATCAAATTAATAATAATTATTTTATTTTAAATATTATTTTAATACATTATTAAAATTTCATTAACAACTAATTATATTACATTTTTAAATTTAACTCTAATTAATTAAAATAATTCATTTTAAACAAATTATTTCATAAACAAGCCTAAAGTTCTCAAGTTGAGATTTTGGTCAACAAACCTGCCAATGCCATCCGCCAATTATGGGAAGGGACCGAACGGTGTGTCTGAATATTAATAAAATACGCGGAGGTGCGTAAACGCTAGGTCATCCAAGAAACAAGATAAAGACACGTAGGCACTTGTTGTGCCACTAGATTTGTTTTTAATTTAAGCGTCATACATTACATATCGTCCCATCCCATGTAAACACATGGATATTTGTCCCCAAAATCAAGAAAAAATGGTTTAAAATTAAAATGTAGGTATTTGTAGTGGACACCTCAACTGCCCCACCCAATAAATTATTTTGCAACAGCCATGTGTTAACTCCTCAGTTTTTCTTAATACCTTCTTCTTCTTCTTCTTATTATTATTATTATTATTATTATTATTATTATTATTGTTGTTGTTGTTGTTGTTGTTGTTTTTGTTGTTGTTGTTGTTGTTGTTGTTGTTGTTGTTTAATTTGTGAACCACCAACTAAGTTGAATATAGTGCTAGCTAGGTCTCTTTTGGTTTGGTTCTATCGGGCTATTTCTGTTTGGTTGGGTTGTATTCTGTTTGCTTAGTTAAAGGGTAAAAGTGTATATCTGCTTTACTCCTTTGTTTTGGTTTGTGTTAGTCATTCTTCTATCTTTGTTTGGTTTTAGCCCACATGTATGTGGTGCTCCTATTTTCCGGCGGTGTGGTTTATATTAAATATTGTGTTTCTTGATTTGATTCAGTGCTCTAAAAGTCGTTAGGCCGCCCGTTAGGCGCTCGACCAGCGCCTAGCGCCTAGAGCGTCTAGGCGGGGTCTAGGCGGCGCCTAATTGGGACCTAGAAATCAATATTAAATATCATATGTTTTATTTATTTTAACTACCTACAAAATAAAACTATCTCAACTTATAATAAATTCACACACCAAAGTCCAAATAATAATGTTAATATATATTAAAGAAAACATGACAACAAAATAATGTAATTAGTATTTAAAAAACTAAAAATACTAAAAAATTGCCGCCGAGCCCGCCTAGGAGCGCCTAGGTCTGCCTATGCCCGCCTAGACGCCGCCCGCCAAGCCCGCCTAGGGCCGCCTAGCTGCCTGGCCGATTTTTTCTGCCGATTTGTGCAAATCGGAGGCGCTCGGGCACCGCCTAAGTCGATTTTTAGAACAGTGGTTTGGTTATGAGCATTTTCTATCGTTTCGAAAAAAGAAAAGTCGTTGATCTAGAGAGTTGGAAATTATATTGTACATGACTTTCAATCAGTGATTAATAAAGATTCAAAACTGATCAAAATCGGTTTTGATTGGATTAATTTTTTTTATTCACTTTAACTCAAAATTTAATTAAAATCTATTATCCTCGATATATCAATATAATTAAATAATATCAATCATAGCTCTCTTACATCAAATAAACTTTAATTCATTATTTATCCGCTCACATATATTTTATTACTATCACTTTCATCATCTCTCTCATACTTTTAATAGCATCACTTTTAACCATTATATTTCAAATATTATTTATTTACAATCTCTCTCATAGCACTCAATTAATTTTATTCAAAATAACTTACTTTAATTCATGATCAATTTTAACTAGTTTTAACTGCTTACCAATAGCCCCTTAAGACTAGCATTATATGATCTCAACAATTTCCTATAGTAAGTTTGAACTGAGTCTGATAAAGTGTGATAATTTTTTATCTCACTCAAGATCTCTCGTAGTTTTAATTGCTTACCAATCGCCCCTTTAAGATTAGCATTATATGATCTTAACAATTTCCTATAGTAAGTTGAGTTCAATATTCAAATATATTCTAATGATTAATTCATAACAGAATTGAAGCAATCATGTGGGATAGAAATCCTATAAGACATTTTTTTAATAGCTGAGGCAGTTACACATCCCCTCTAACCTCTCTCTATAAATTTTAATTTATTTACAATCTAAAAGTAATTAGACTTAGAATATCCATAAATATACTGAATATTTATAGTCCTTTTTAAGACCATTAATTATAATTTAATATCATTATACTGATTATTTATGGTCATTTTTAAGACCATTAATTATGATTTAATATCATTTACTGTTGTAGACGTGGTTTTAAGGTATGATTTTTTTCTCAATCTTTCTTTTTTTTTCCTTATATTTCTTTTAAAATTATAACATATTTATTAACTTAAATTATAAATATATTTAGAAGTACATAAATTCTTTATTTATTAATATTTCTTTATATATAATATATCAAATTAATCGTGTTTTGATGAACTTCGATCTGACATCTATATTATTCATACAAAATAAATAAATAATTTTATTTATCTTTATAATTAAAACTAAATTACCTATTAATACCAATTCAAAAAAATAAAGTTATTTAAACTAATTTAACTAAAAAGTAGTTATGTCATATAAATAAAAAAAATATAATATAAGATGGTAAGTCGTGTAAGTGACGGCGTCATTTTAAACATAAATAATTAATATCTTTTTTAAAAAAAATATTTAAAAACTAAAATAATTTTTGTTGTTACTATTATTTAATTAAAAAATCTTAACAAGTACTCGTGCAGAACACGATCTTGTACTAGTTGAGTTATTCAAAATATCTTATTTTTATTTTACAAAAAATATGTATTTTCATTAAAACAAATATAATTTTTTTGAGGTTGACCCAACTTAGTGCAAAATTGGGTGTGGTATGGAATCACGCAATATTCGAGCGACATGCATATCCATAATTCCATGTAGCCTGCCAAATTTCTAACACCAGCCCATAATATAAGGAAAAGAGACAAAAAATCTTCTTACCTACAAAAAAAAGTCCAAGTACTTTCTCAATACAACCTCAAACCGTAAAAACCAGTAGCGTGCAGCCGTGGATCCTCCGCCAGCTGGACGGCTCAGATTTCACCAAAACCTCAATCAGAGCCGTTTTCGTTATTCATCATCATTTCAAAAAACTCGTCTTCACCATCCACCACTGGCAAAGTTCCTTTTCCTTTTGTCGTCTCTGCTATAAACAGCTCATCACCTTCACACCATTATTATTATTATTTCCAAAAGAGAGGGGTTTTTTTATCTCTCATAACATTTGGAATTATGGATTCCGTGTTGCGAGTATAAAAAACCCTTTTTCGTCATTAATAATAGGAAAAAAAAATTAAAACAATACCGATATTCTTTATTGCTAGAAAAGATTTTGGAGTGCTGCCTTTAATTCAACTCCGCACACATGGAAACCCTCCGCAAATCCTTCAAATCCTCGCCGCCAAAGCAAGAGGAGGACCGCCTGATTCTCCTAACTGAAAAGCCCACATCCGCCGTCGCCACCGCGTCCATGGCGACATCGTCTTCCTCCTCCGCCTCCCCTTCCCCTCCCGTCGCCCCCAAAATCAACGGTCGAGATCTGCCCGACGCCTCCGCTGACACTGGTGCAAACAACAAAATGTGGCGGGACTCCAGCTACGACTTCTCAAACGACGCCGTCATGAAAGCCGCCGCCAAATCCGGCGACTTCGATTTCATCTCTGAGTCTCCAGTGTCCCAGCGATCCCAATTATCCCGAATCCCCGAAAGCCCCGGCCCCAACACCAACTACGACCAGTCCACCCCGCGCGAAGTCCGCGTCTCCTTTCACGAGTCCGTCGAGCAGGCCGCAAACCGCCGGTCCAGCGCCGAACCGGAGGAGATCCTTAACTGCAGCTCCAACAGCTCCTTCCGGAGGAAATCCAGCCTCCTCCGTGCCAAGACCAAGTCCCGGCTGCTTGACCCGCCGGAGGACTACACCCCCAAATCCCAGACTCAGAGAATGATTAATAAATCCCAGAACTTGGGGAAAGCCAGTGAGATCGACGAGGATGATCCCTTTCTGGACGACGATTTTCCCGACGACTACAAGAAGATGAAGTTCAACGTGCTTTCCTTTCTACAGCTGGTGAGCTTGATACTAATTGTGGCCGGTTTAATTTGCAGCTTGACCTTTAACATCCTGAGAAGGAAGAAAATTGTTGAACTGGAGCTATGGAAATGGGAAGTGATGGTTCTAGTTCTGATCTCGGGCAGATTGGTCTCTGGATGGGCTATTAGGATCGTGGTTTTCTCGATCGAGAGGAATTTCTTACTGCGAAAACGAGTTCTGTATTTCGTTTACGGATTGAGAAACGCCGTTCAGAATTGTCTGTGGCTGTCTCTTGTTCTGATCGCTTGGCAGTGCATTTTCGACAAGAAGGTCGAAAAGGTCACAAACGGGCGGATTCTACCTTACGTGACCAAAATCTGGGTGTGCCTTTTGGTGGGAACCTTTATCTGGCTTCTGAAAACATTGCTAGTTAAGGTCTTGGCATCGTCCTTCCACGTCAGCACATTTTTCGACCGTATTCAAGAGTCATTGTTCAATCAATATGTAATCGAGACCCTCTCAGGCCCGGCATTAATCGAAATACAGCACGAACAGGAAGAAGAAGAGAGAGTCATGATTGAAGTCAATAAGCTTCAGAGTGCGGGGGCCACAATCCCGCCTGATCTGAAGGCAAACATGTTCCCAAAGAGCGGCAAAATAATAGGCACACCGAGAAAGACGCCGACGTCAGCTGGCGGGAAAAGTCCCGTTTTCTCGAAGGTAATGTCGAGACGGGAAGAGCAGCAGAATGGGTTTACTATAGACCACTTGCATAGGCTGAATCAGAAGAATATATCGGCTTGGAATATGAAGAGGCTGATGAATATAGTGAGGAATGGGGTGCTATCTACCCTGGATGAGAAGATACAGGGCTCAACAGAGGAGGATGAGGCTATGGTGCATATCACGAGTGAAAAACAGGCGAAAGCTGCTGCCAAGAAGATATTTACTAATGTGGCTAAGCCGGGAGCTAAGTGAGTTTTCGTTTTTTGGCTCAATAGATCTTGATTAGCTTCTAAATGCAGTTTTTTACTTGGCTTGTTTATTTCCGATTTTAATTTCTTTTTTTTACAAGGAGTGAAATAGAATAAGGTATTGTATTGTTTGTTCAGCAGCTCGTGCCGACTTAATAGTTCATCTATTGAAAATTGATTGTTAGAAGAAACATAATCTAATTAGTATTGACTTCAGTGAGCTATCCCCTAGTTATTTGGTAGGTTTCCTTAACATGGCATGAAATTGAGCTGCCACCTATTTGTTATATTCAGTGCTTTCATAATAATAGAATGTATTCTGTGACAGATACATTTATGAGGATGATTTATTGCGTTTCATGCGGGAGGATGAGGTTATAAAGACTATGCGTCTATTTGAAGATGGAAGTGAGCAAAAGAGAATCAGCAGGAAAGCTCTTAAAAACTGGGTGGTAAGGAAATTTATCTCATCATTTTCCTCGAGTTGGTAATAGTAACTAAGTTTTACTCTAATTTTGCTGTCGTGATTATCTGTTTTTATTGCACAAGTTTGTTGGGTTATCTTTGTCCATTTGGGGTGCATAAGTTTATTGGACAAGGTGGTCCTTTAATTTGATTTCCATAACATATACAATTTGCATAATTGACGTATGTGCTGAATTACTTATCCCTACAAATTTTTTTCAATTAACCTTTGATTTTATCGATGCTTTATTAATCTTGGTTCCTGTTGTACAGATCCAGTTACAATTTTTCTTCTTTTGGGAAAATATTGGACTAATCTACAAAATTGGGAAAGAATGACCCTAACATGGAATGTGTTGCAAATCTGTTGATCTGCTGCAGGTCAATGTATTCAGAGAAAGACGGGCACTTGCTCTGTCCCTAAACGACACTAAAACTGCCGTAAACAAGCTGCATCAAATGCTGAATGTGCTGGTTGGAATCCTCATTATTGTCATCTGGCTTCTCATACTCAAAGTCGCCACCACACACTTCTTTATTTTCTTGAGCTCGCAGCTCCTTTTAGTAGTGTTCATGTTTGGAAACACGTGTAAGACAACATTCGAGGCCATCATCTTTCTGTTTGTGATGCACCCTTTCGATGTGGGTGACCGTGTTGAAGTTGATGGAGTTCAAGTAAGTTTAAAAAAATACACAAAACTAAGCAAAGGCACTTTTCTGGATAATTTTGAAACTTTTGTGGGTTATTATGTAAATAACTCAAACTTCACGTGTGGTTTGTGATTGTTCCTTGAACTATATACATAATACTTGCCTTTTCTTGATGTTACGAAACTCGAATTTTCAGATGGTCGTTGAAGAGATGAATATATTGGCCACAGTTTTCCTGAAGTTTGATAACCACAAGATATATTACCCAAACAGTGTCCTATCCACAAAGCCAATCCATAACTATTACCGAAGCCCGGAAATGGGAGACGCCATCGATTTCTGTATTCACATTTCAACTCCCGTCGAGAAGATTGCACTTATGAAGGAAAGAATCACGAGGTAT